ACCCTTTTCCAATATTAGTGAGACCCCCCTTAGTTATTTAATTAAATTAATATTAATATAATTATTAAATATTATACCTATATTACCCCTAATTATCAGATCTTATAATCACAAACCCTAGCCATATATTTTATATTTAAAACCGCCGTTCTATCATCCCGATTCACGTTCTCTCTTCTTTATCGATCTGAAATCCACTTCTCTTCTTTCTCAATCTGGGAATCCCGGTAATGGCGGTGGAGGCGGCGGCTACGGAGGACGAAGGTGGCGCCACGTCTCAACAACGACGAAGGAGTCGTTCTCAAATCTCCGGCACCGTGAAGAAAATTAAAGAACAATAGCCGCTATGGAGTCGATTCTCGCTTAGTTCGCTTCGTTCTCAGCCGCTATGGAGTCGATTCTCGCTTAGTTCGCTTTGTTCGTTATATTCGGTGGCCACCAAAGGCGTTGGAATCGAATATGGGAGACCCTTCGTTTTTTTTTTTTTGGTAATGGTTAACCCCTCTCTACCTCCACCCTCGTCTGCATCGTCAGATCTGGTAACATCGCTCTGCTCCACCGCAACCATAATTTAAAAAAAAAATCGGAGATGTTTTTATTGATGGGTATCTTTTGCAGCAATATAGTTGTTTTCGTTATTCTACTATTTTTAGTATAGTTGTTTTCGTTATTCTACTATTTTGTATAGTTGTTGATGGGTATCTTTTGCAGCAGTATAGTTTTTTAATTAGTTGTTTTCGTTATTCTAATTAGTTAATCTTATAATGGAAATAATATAATATATAATTAATTTAATAAATTGTGAAACTGATGTATCATTGTTTTAATACCAATAACCGGAAATTCTCCTGATCGATGAGATGTTTGCTGTAGAAAGCAAGGATGGTGGTATATTGGTGTTCTTTTATTTGCTTTGTTTGTTTTGATATGCTAATTATTGTTTAATTATGGAGTAGTTTCTATTGTCCATGCTTTAAAAATCATGGTGGTTTGAAATTAGAAAATCAAGATTTGACGAGAATGCTCGAAGCAAACTATTTGATATGTCAGGATGTGTTGCGATGTTCATGTTGTTTCAATTTCGGAGAAATAGTTGTTTGTATCATTTTTGTAGTTGTATTTTCTTTTTTTTTTTATAGTTGTTTTGTTAATTTTTGTAGTTGTATTTTCTGCTTTTTTATAGTTGTTTTGTTAATTTTGTAGTTGTTTATGTTACTTTTATAGTTGAATACTTGTTACCATTGTATTTTATTTTTTTTATTACTTTTTGTAATTGATTTGTGATATTTGTCGGTGTTTTAAATTTGTAGGTGGTGAACTTTTGTCAACAATTGCTCCCATTCTTTGGATTGTTGTTGGAGGTGGACCTGGAGAAAAAATACGTAAAAACCCCCTAATTCATTTACTTACGCGTAATGGCGTGCCGTTTTTGTTGGAATTTTGGTGTGTTTTTTTTGCTTTTGCTTTTGCTTTTGTGGATTTCAATAATTTGTAGTTGAGTCAATATAGTTGTTTTCGTATAGTAATATAGTTGTTTTTGCACAACAATATTATTGTTTTCATTACTTTTTAGTTTGTTTGAATAAATAGTTCATTTAACAAATAGTTGTTTTGGAGATGTTTTAATTAAATAATTAGTTAATCTTATAATGGAAATAATATAATATATAATTAATTTAATAAATTGTGAAACTGATGTATCATTGTTTTAATACCAATTGTTTTAATAATAGTCGTTTTATAATAGTCGTTTTAATAATAGTCGTTTTATTGGCATATAGTTGTTTTAACTGAAAACTAAAATAATATAGAAAAGTAATATTTAAAGAAAAATATTAAAATAAATATTAAAAAAAAAAAATTTTTTTTTAAAAAAATTATTTTTTAAAGAAGAAATAAATAAAAAAACGAAAATTAAAATTAAAATATAAAAAATGAAAAAAAATATATCAAACTAATGGATAATGAGTAGTGAATAATGGGAGGGTAAATTTGAGAATACAAAAAGAATGGGTTTCTCACTAATAAAGGAAAATGAGCTGGACCCATCCTTATTAAAATAATGTTAGAGGGGGTTCTCACTAATAGTCCCTTTAATATAAACCAAAATATGAAAGAAACTTTAAAATTATTTAGATAACTAAACCAAATAATTTCTGTGGGATAATTATTTATTTGCAGAATTTCAATTAGGGGTGCAAGTTGGAATGGAAATTCCAATATCTGCCGGTTTCGATCTGAAAAGTTCCGATTTTGGAACAACTTTTTTTAATTCTGACTTTCAAAATTCCAATTTCCAAATTTTTCCAATTTTTTTGGATTGGAATTGGAATTATATAAAATAAATTTGAAATTTTCGATTTTCGATCCGATTTAATTTCAAAAATTTATTCCGAAAAATTCCATTTTTTTCCGAGAAATACACCCATAAATAATATATTATATAATACTTATTTTTCCGAAAAATACACCTCAATAGTTTCGTTTTAGGATTTTGAGATAATAATTTTTTTTTAAAGTTTTATTAGATATTATGATGTGTTTAGTTTTATTTATTTTTTTGAACTGAAATTTAGTAATTATTAGTTTTATTTTTATCGACGTGGATGTTCATATTTTTTGGAAATTATGAACATTTTCGAAAACTTCCGCTAAGTTTTGGAATTGGGATCAACTTTTAGATTATGAAAATTTTGGAATTGGAATTGGAATTGATTTTGTACTTCCGTTTTTTTTTTTTTAATTTTCAGAAAAGGCCATTCCCGATCCGATCCATCCGGCGACAAAGTCGCAAGATCAACAACAGATTACTGACGAATTATTATTCTCTCGCAAATATATATTTTTTTGTCACACATCTGTCGGAAGTTTAGTCACAAAATAGTGACAGACATTTCGGTCGCTACATCCGTCGGTGGAGGTCATTTTTCGTCGGTTGACCACAAATCAGCGATGGAAAAAATACGGTCGCAACATTAGCGACGGATTACTAACAAAATACAGTTACATGAAAAAATCATCGACGACTTTGCGACGAACTTTAAATCCCTCGTCACATTAGCGACAATGTACCAACCAAACTTGATTCTGTCGTAAGATCGGCGACAGAATAGCAACCAAATATGGTGTCGTCGCAAGATCAACAACAGATTACCAATGAACTTTAAATATGTCACATATATTAATAAGTTCGTCAATAATCTGTCGGCAATGTGTCAGTAAATAGTGACAGTCGTTCCTGTCGCTAAATTTCCGTCAATGAAGCCCTGTTTTCTTGTAATACCAATCAATATTTTCTATGGAATATTTTCTATGGTTTTTAGTTTATTTGGTCCTTGGGTATTCATATTTTACATATAAAATATAACATACATTATATTATGAAATTACAAAAATATATCATAAAATTATATTATAGATTTCAAAAAATAATCAAAATATTTGGAACTAAAATAAAACGAAAGTTTGAATTTTCGGTAATTTTATACACAATTTGCATTCCGTTCCAAACACATCAGAAAAATCGGAAATTAGAACTTCGCCATCAGAATAAAAAATACAGTTATAAATTCGGATATTTTCTTACCAAAATTCGCGAAATTCTGAAATTTCATTAAGATTTCCACCCCTAACGACATTGCATTTTTACTTTTATTTTTCCTTTAATTTATTTTATGAGACATACATACGTATGACGATGTTTTTTTGGTCGTCATATGTGTTATGATTTTAGATGTTATTACAATATGTTATTGAAAGAATGTTTAATGATGTTAATTATAAATGTATTAACATTGCCTATACTAGTTTATCATCAAATTAAGTTGATATACCAAATTGGGCCGACCCAATGGGACCCCAATTTATCTAATAATTGGGCCCACTATACGAAAGCACAATTGGACCCGATACACGAAAGCCCAAACACCTTCAAAATAAGGCTTGAGCCGAACAAAGTAAACCCAACCCAATCAACGACATATAAATAGAGGTTTTTACTCATTTGTTAAGGTACGTTCTATTAATCACAAGTATTCTAGAGCACAAATTCTCTATACCATCTCCACGATCCGTACATCTGACTTGAGCGTCGGAGGGGTTTCCGCCGGATCAACCCCCGGCTTAGTTCACGTGTGTTCATTTCGCAGGGAACTCATGATCATCAAATTGGCAAGCTACTGATCCATTTTGCTCTCCTAGCTCGTTAAATAGACTACCCCAGGTGATCTATGTAATTAGCATCATCATTTTGGCGCCGTCTGTGGGAATGCAAACCAGATCACATAGCCAGCAAGATCCTCATGAGTCATCTGCTCGAAGAGAGAATGACACAGCTAACAACCTCCCGATCCGCGGAGGATCTGGCTTGCCACCTCCTCCCCGTGCTCCCGATCCCTTTGCGATGTCCAAGTAAATCCCCCTCGGGATCCACCACTCGCCGATCCGCCACTCCCTGCTTCTCGAACGGTTCAGATAACCAAGGATGAGCTCCAACACATGATAGCAGAAGTCTCAACTCGTGCCGCCATAGAGGCTGTGACCCAATATATAGCCACGATGGGAGGAAATGCTCCCAACGCGCGATACCCGCACCTCCTCCACCTGTAGTCTCGCCCATGGCACCACCGCCAGTCCATAATCGAATAAGTGTGTCCTCATCCACTTCGGACCCACGGTCCTGGGTGCAACTATCCACTAATCACAGGGGAGCACAGCCTAGACAACAACGTCAATGCTCACCCCAACGGGGTAACGCGTCTCCACAGAGAGTCCCTCTCTTTAATGAAGGAGAAGGCGAGGTAAACAGTAGAATCTCTCGCCAAATTTCCTTCCCCCAATTGAACAATCCAATTGGAGAAAGAATGCCTGCCCCAGCAAGACGCAATCCTTTCACCATGGACAACCTAAACGAGGTATTACCTCAAGGAGTGAAAATCTCAGGATTACCTTAGTTTGAAAGAACCACCAACCCACAATAACACATAGAGAAATTCCACGCCATGGCAGATTTGTATGGCCCAACAGATGCATCAATGCGCAAGATGTTCCGCACCACTCTCTCCAAGCGGGCCATGAATTGGTTCAACTCTCTACCTACAGGATCGATCGACACCTTCTCTCGATTATCGCAACGCTTCACCAACCAATTCGCCATCAACAAACAATATGCCAAGACCCCAACACACCTTTTCTCTGTCATACAGAGAGACAACGAAACACTCCGCAACTACATCAAGCATTTTGTGGAAGCTGTCCAAGAAGTCCCAAGCGTAGGACAAGACATGCTCTCCCGGACCATGCACCAAAACTTGAAGTCGGGTAGATTCAAAGAATCTATTGCCGGAAGGCCTCCTAGAAACCCCGATAAATTGTTAAATCGAATTGATAAATACGTACGAATGGAAAAAGCTGTTAGAGTAGGTGGCCGAAAAATCAACTAATTGTTGTGTTTTCTCACGCTACTCGTAAATTATCTATTTTGTATTAATGATAAAACCCCCTTTGGCATTGTATATCTTTGTCCATTGCATAAGCATAGATGTAGTCCTTACAGTTACTTAATTACTATAAATATATCTAGTAGAATCGTGAGATTATTTATTTAATTATAGTAACTGTTAAATATAGTTCCTAGTCAACGGGTTACGCCACTAATGAGGATATTGGCCTTTCCCATTCGAGACTAGCACTTAGTGTATGTGTACTGCGTCTCATCAGTCAACGGTGTTGTGACATCGGCATACATAAGTGGGTGCTCATAAGTTGATGAGTTCACTGAACTCCCTCAATCTAGAGATCTGTAAGTGGTTCCCAATAATCGAGTAGATGTTTCTATGATATAGTTGTACACCATTAATCCTTAAGACCCTGACATCACCGTGACTTCACTAGAGGACCAGCTGTATCGTGACCTGTCCCTGAGTTCCACCGAGGACCACCCCAAGGGCCAATGTTCGTGTAGTCCAAAATCTAGTGGGAGGTCTCTGCATTGTAGTAGGAGATTCGATCGCTTGATTAGTCATGGATATCCAGTGTTTTCTTGCGATTTATATTCCATGAAGTCTTTGGCCACAGCTGAAAGTGCCGTGATTAGAGAAATGTGTTTCTCTAAGTCAAACACGAACGGATTATATAATCAAGAACATCCACACTGTTATTGAACTCATAAAGAGGTCTCGACGAACCAATGCCTCTAGTTGAATCGGGATATATGTATCGAAGGGATCGTATTGTACGTTAACTATATCACACGGTTCTTGCAGGTACTTCATTTGTATCTAGGGAATCATGACGCATAGTTGCTAGATGCCAATCTTGATTCGTTGGGTAGTTAAGTTGAAACTAGCTTCAACATAATTGTAACTCTAGGGACGAGTTTAAACCACAATGGGTTGTGGGCCCACGGCTAGCTTACACCTGAACCATCGAAGGTCACACTGCTCGTGTACCTGAGATCCTTAATGCAACTATCTAAGATTAATTAGTTAATCTTAGTGTAATTGGAAGTCAATGTGATTGAGTCCAACAATCGTAATTGTTAATTACGGATGAGAATAAGTAGAGGAAAATAATCCAACGGAAATTTAGTGAACTTTCTATTTGGGGAAGTTTCCCAATTTGGCAAGTCCTAAATTAGGGTTTCCAATTTCGGAAATTGGTAAATTGCAAAGTGGTACTCGTATCAACGAGGAATTGTGCTCGTCGTCAAAATATAATTGTTATATTTTTGCGAGCATTCGTTTGTTAGCAACGAGCTGAGAAAGAGAGTGGACTTAAGCTGTTGGGCCTAGCCCAACTTAAGGCATGTTAGGGTTTTCATAAGGAGCATATAAATAAGATTTATATGTCTTGTGAAAGATATGAAAAAACACACAAAAAACGACATAACACAAGCTTGAAACCCTAGCTTCTCTCCCCATGGCCGTCCACCTTGTAGCCGAAACCCTACCTCCGCCACCAGCTGTCGCGCCGCCGCCGGTCGCCGCCGCATCGGCATCTTCCTTTTCCCTTGGTTCTTCTTCGTTGTACTTAGCCTATCACGTATCTAGTGCTGCGTGGATAGTTCAATATACGAGGTGAAACCTAGGAGGAGGAAGATTATTATACCGCCAACGCCGCCACCAGGGTGTCCCCACGCGCCCCCACGCACCGCCACAAGTCGGTGATGCGAGAAGGCAATTCTGAAAAACTGCTCTCGGATTTTCTGCGCAATCCTGCGAGAAAATTCTGCATAAATCAACTGGTGATCGGATGGACGTGAACATTTGGCAGAAGCTTCACGACTCATAAATCTACAATCTCCTAGTAGCAATTGTCCATCTAGTAAATAACCATGGAAATATTGAAGTCAGAGCAGGGCTGTAATTTCAGATCAGCAAACAGGTTGGATCAGTAGGAGTGGGAAGAGCAGCTAGCCATCTTCTCGAGTCTTCGTTCGATTCATGCTTCAAGGCTAAAATATCGTTTTCCGTAATTAATATACATGTATTAATTAATTTATATTAATTGAGATTAATGTATGTTAATTGATTATTGAATCTGATAAATCTATATGTTCGATTATGTGTTTATGTGAATCGTTCGTTCAGCATGTTTATTATTTATTTTAATTTCGCGAGCATGCTATGATCATTTAATTTATGTTATTTAAATTAATTATATATGCGAGCATGTTTGTCGGTGATTGGAAGCGAAAAGGTACGCACTTAATTGTAATTTATTGTGCACGTGTTTGTTTATATAAATAAAATAATTTTTTTTCCGCTGCGTACACGTGCCTGATCCCCAACAGAAGCCTCTACCCATGCTCCTCCCAAGAGGAAGAAGGAAGATGACCGACAAGACGTTAGAGGACGGGATGATCGACGTCCACCACCCCCACCTCAAGGCCAACCATCTTCCTCCTACAATCGGTTCACTACGCTAAACACTCGCCTCACTGAAATCCTTCGTGTGATAGAACAAAGAGGTCTGGCAGAGCATCCACGCCCAATGCAGCCCAACGCGAAACGAGAAAGATCGGATCGCTATTGTCGATTCCATAAACATAAAGGACATACTATCAAGGAATGTGCACAACTTAAATTGGCAATCGAGAGGCTGATCAAGCAGGGCCACTTAGGCAAATACATTGATAAGCCTCGTCGAAATAAGCGCCATGATGACCTCCCACGCCGAGATAATAATCGAGATCAACGCAACGACGAGAGGAGGGGGGTCATCGGCGCGAACAAGATAACAATGATAACCAACCCACCCGGGGAGTCATTGCCTTCATCTCCGGAGGACCAGCGGGTGGCGACTCACAAAATGCGAGACGCACCCTCGCTCGATCACCACGTATGAATCAAGAGCACGCTTCTCCATCCACATCTATCTATCATATACGAAGACCTGATCATAGCATAGTCTTCGACTCCTCGGACCTTGAAGGCCCAGACGAAGATCATGTCGTCTGGTTGGTAGTGACAGCGTCGGTGGCCAACTTTTTGGTCAAGAAGATATTAGTGGACGGTGGAAGCTCAGCAGACATCATGTATCTCCATACATTCAAGCAGATGGGCATAGATAACGCCCGATTGAGCCCCACTACACCACTAAAAGGATTCACGGGGGAGGGCGTTTTATTCATGGGAGAAGTGGAGTTGCCCATCTTCTTAGGGGACAACCCTTGTCGAATTGCAAAGATGATAAAATTCCTCATCGTCGACAAGCCATCCTCCTATAACATGATACTAGGGAGGCCAGCGATCCATACATTCAAGTCAGTGTCTTCATCTTACCACCAAAACTGGAAATTCTCCACTGCTTATGGAATGGAAGAGGTACTTGGAGATATACGCCTCACTCGAGAATGCTATGCGAGAGCCCTACGTGAGCCATCCAAGAAGCCCAAACCGTCCGGAAGGGGAGACGACACCAAAAAACTCGACAAACGAAAATGGGTCAACGCGATCATCGAGGACGATAGAGAAATCCTCATCAGCATACCGGACGACAGCATCAAGCTAGCGGCCGTCGAAGAGCTTAAGCTCATAGAGCTCACACCTGAAGATGATTCCAAGCTCCTACGCATCGGATCCAATCTAGATCCAGAGATGGAACATCAACTAATCAACTTTCTGCGACATAATGGAGACGTGTTCGCTTGGAAATCCCAAGATTTGTCGGGCATTCCCCCTCAGGTGGCTCTACATCGGCTCAACGTCGACAAAAGGTTGAAGCCGATCAAACAAAGGAAGCGTACATTTGGTCCCGAATGCAACAAACACATCAAGGCGGAAGTGGAAAAACTTCTAGAGGCAGGCCATATACGACCATTTATGTATCCTGAATGGTTGTCGAAAGTAGTAGTTGTTCCCAAGCTCGGGGGCATGTGGAGGTTGTGCGTGGACTTCACCGACTTCAACAGAGTTTGCCCGAAGGACCCTTTTCCTTTGCCTAGTATCGACCAACTCATCGACTCGACCTCGGGATGCGAGCTACTCAGCTTTCTTGACGCTTATCAAGGATACAATCAAATCTTGCTCGCCCCAGAAGATCAAGACAGGGCTAGCTTCGTCACAGATCAAGGTACTACTGCTACCAAGTCATGCCTTTGGGGTTAAAAAATGCGGGGGCCACTTACCAACGTCTAGTGAACGCAATGGTCGCAGACCTAATCGGCAAGAATATGGAGGTACACATCGACGGCATGCTCATCAAAAGTATCAAGGTCTCGGACCACTTAGTCGATTTAGATCAGTGTTTCGCCATCCTACGAAAATACAAGATGAAACTCAACCCCCTCAAATGTTTGTTGGGAGTTCAGGGAGGTAAATTTTTGGGATATATGATTTCACAACGAGGAATCGAAGCTAATCCCACAAAAATCGAAGCCATCACCTCCATGGCTCTACCAACATCAATCAAGAAAGTCCAACAACTTAACGGCTGGTTGGCATCTTTGAACAAATCTATTTCGAGGTTGGCAGACAGAGGTCTCCCCTTCTTCAAGATTTTAAGGGGTGGAAAAAAGTTTGAGTGGGATTAAGCTTGTCAAAAAGCTTTCGTCGATTTGAAGTCATATCTCGCGTCTCCACCCTTACTCACAAAAGCTCAGCATGGAGACACCCTCCTCCTATACTTAGCAACCTCGGCTGATGCCATTAGCGCGGTCCTCATCCGAAATGGAAAAAAAGGCCATATATAAGTCGCACCCTTCAAGGAGCCGAACAACTACTACCACTCGTAGTATCCTGGATCTGTCTGAGGCCCACTAAACTCAATAAATGGATAGTCAACGGGAGAATCAAGTCGGCCATGCCATCTATCAACGTAGATACTGTGAAAACGAGCCCAATCTCTACCCCCTACGCCTCGACGATCATAAGAATGCAACTTAATCTCAACATCGTGATCAGTAGGATGTGGTGGTATACGCTGTACCCTACCAAACTGACGTAGCACCCTATACGGACGATGCAGCTCAACTCTCTCGTAAAGTATAAGGGGACAACTCGACAACCAAAGCTGTGGATGCACTACCTCAGGATACTCAAGTAAAGCGCCAAACTCAGGATCTAGTTCACTATAAGGCATCCATGTAAACTAGAAGAAAAAAAAATTTTTAGTATATTTTTTAATAGAGCACAAACATTAACTTAATTGCTGTTAACTTATAAATAACCTGATCCCAGAGCATCCGATCGAGCGTCGTACGATAAACACGTATATTGTTTCGCGAGGACCGAGTGTGACTAGTAGGCCTGATCCAACTGTAATATCATATGAAAATTTGCTAAGTCAATATATTAACCTTCATATAAATAAATTATTAGTACTAAGATGTTTACCGTGCACCGTAAGGAGGGTGGGGATATGCAAGACGACGGGGATCGTCATCTACTACTGGTACTATTGCTGGAGCGAGTAAAGGTATCCTCGACCATGCCCAACACTAATTATGAAACATAAAAAAATATAAAAAACCGCAAGTATAATAAACTACTAATTTAAATTTTAGAAGTATCAAAAATCCTATTACCTGTAACAGAGTAAGCGCACCACCTAGATTAGTTTTCCTCTTATCCAACTCAACAGTGCCGTCTTGTTCCACAACTTTCCTAAGTAAAGCCCCAGTGCATAGCTCACGATACAAATATCCAAGAACTGCACTACCCCAACTGAAAGTACGCACCACCTCAAGATCTTCGAAATGACGAAGATACAACAACGAGATTGCACTTGAAGATGTGTCAGGACACATAACCCCCCCAAGTAGCAATAACAGTAAACACCTGGTATGCTGCTGAACACGCTGCTCCGTGCTGTCATCTGTAATCTTGCATCCTCGTAAATATATGGCCAGATCAGTTGCATAGAGCCGTCTCCCTTTGAAAGCTATCTGAAGGAGTATATCCCAACCACGTCTGACAATAATCCTGCCACTGCTCCTTCGACCATGAAATATCCTGTCCAGTAACAGGTAGTCCGTCAACAGGCAAACCCCATAATAATGCGACATCCTCAAGTGTCACTGTCGCCTCCCCTGCTCGAAAATGAAACGTGTGTGTCTCCGGACGCCATCTCTCCACTAAAGCTGCAATAAGATGCAAATCGACTACGAGACGACCACATCGATATACTCCATAGAACCTAGTATCAACTAAGTACTGCATCACTCTAGGGTGTGGATCATCATCACCATCATCTCCATATAAACCCCAAATCCAACCATCACAGCGTCTCCCGCGCACAATATCATCCACGTTTGCCGATGTAATCGATCTAGATACGTGCTCTGACTGGCGGTATAGCAATGAAGTGTCTCGCGGACCATAAACATAACTGACATCCATCCTGTATAATAATATACATAGAACACTCAGATAATATGCACAAGTGTAATAATAAATACACACTAATAAATAAAATACTAAGATAGATTCAGATAATAAGTACAAATGCAAAGTCAAATAAAAAGTCAAACACGATAATAAAAGCCTACTTAGTCCGACGTGAAAACACGCTAATACATAGAAAAACTCAAATACAAAGTCAAACACGATAATTAGACACTATGTAGTCCGACGTGAAAACGTAGAAAATAATAATATAAATAATACAACTATCGGAGCCGTCTTGCTTGTTCCTCTCTTCTAGATTGTTGTCTTGCCCTTGTTTGTGGCACATCCATCTCATTAGGAATTCGACTGCGTCTTCGATCCCCTAATAGTGTTGGATCATGAATTAGTTCAAAACCAACATCCTCCCAATAGTGTTCACTCAACAGTGGTTGGAATATCCCAGAATAAGTGTTCACTAATCGATCAACAGTGTACAATCGTTCACATATACGGAGGCAGACAACATCCATTCACGGCACACGTGGAGGACATGACTGCAGGGGATTCCTGTTAGCTTCCATTTTCCACAAGTATAAGTTTGGTCCCTTAAACTCACGGTGTGTTTGTTATTTCCACCTCCACCTGGACGAGCTTTAGTGATCACCTCGGCAGAGAGCAGTTGCTGATTAAAACGAGTTGTGTAACATCCAACAGACTTGGCTTCATGTTTCCGGTAAACGCCATAAGCATACGTGGACCACAACTGTCCTCTCTGAACCATCAAATTGGCCTATTCGAGACGATTAAAAAAATACCTAAGAATGCGGTTGAATGTGAGGTCAACAATTGTTGAGATGGGAAGTTTTCGAGTTCCCTTGAGAACACCATTATGAGCCTCTGACATGTTTGTAGTAAGCTGACCACAACGATTGCCCCCATCATGTGCAAATGCCCATTTTTCTTGATCAATATCCTTCAAATAGTTATAAGCTTCAACACTCCGAGATTTGATCACATTAAGAATGTGGTTAAACTTCCAAATTTGAGACTCCGCTCCCGCCTTGTAGCATAGATCCTTCAAATCTACACTCTTAAAACGTTTGTTGAAATTGGAGCACACGTGTCTCAAGCAAAACCTGTGAAAAACATTAGGGGGAGCAAATTCGGGCAACTCCGCTAAAATCAAGACATATTTATTGAAATTCTTTAGATTTGTGCCAAGGTGAAAAAAGACACCTATTTAGGAACGGAGAGAGTATAAGATAAGAAAAACTGCACGCACTTTATAAAAATGACTTAATCAACATATGCAACAAAGTAAAAACGACGCATAGAGTGCTTCAAACCACATGTAGAGCTCAAATGAGATCCCTATGATGAATTATCAGCCAAATAATGCAGAGAACAAATGAGACATCTTAACAGGATTAGCCATGCAACATTCCAGGATGAATGGGCATCAAAAAGGGTTGACGTCAATTGACAAACTAAACATTGTTTAATAACAATCATATCATA